CTGCGGGAGGTGCCCCAGATTTGGGAGGGCCCAGAAGGGTTTTCCTGATGGAGCAGGACAGGGAAGGGCACATGGGAGGGTGCCTGGATCCTTTCTGCCTCCCAGGAGCCTGCAGGAGCTGAGGGAAGGAGCAGTGCCCGTGAGTGTTGCTGGGGCACACGGGGCTGTCCGGCTGCTGCATCCCTCAGCAGCTCTGCTGAGGGGAGGTTGCTTCTGGACCTTGTTTTTTGGAGTGTGTTGAGCATGTCACGAGTTGCATTGCTTTACAGCCCTGCTAGGACCTGTCTGAGGACTGTTCTCACCAGTATCCCCCTGCTTGTGCTCAAGCTCCTAGCACCTGGTATTGATTGCAATGTTTTATTGTCACAGAAAAGACCAGATCGGTTGTAAGTTGAGTTTTATGTTTTATTGAGCTCATTACCCAGAGCTCCTCAGAGGGGCAGGAGGTTTGTGGGAGCAGGGGAGCAGGAAGCCCTGCCTGGTCCTTCCCAGGGGAATGCAGCCTGTGCTGCTCCAGCTCTGGCTGTGCCGTGGCCACACAACGGGGACTTGCTGCCATTTCCCTGTGCTCGCCTGGGCTCCGGTTCTCCTGCGCTGGACTTGTCAGAGGAAGTGTTGTTAATAGGAGCAGGTAGAGACAGGACTTTTCCACCTCTGAATTGATTTCTGGCTGTGCTGCTGAGGGTGTGAAGGCAGGTGGATTTGTCTGGGACTGAGGCATTTGCATGAAGCCCTGACACTCTGGGCTCAGACCTGCAGGCTGGGTTATCTCTGGAACAGAGGCTCTCAGAGCACAGTCCTGATCACAAGATGATGGTTCAGCATGACCACAGGAGTAATCTAACATCCTGGTTATCAGCTATGATTCAGTCTCGTTAAGATGCTGCTCCAGTTTGGGATTAAACTGAATTGCAAGTAGCTACCAATAGCTTGGTAATTTTTTTCCCCGAGTCTGGAAATCCAAGCAGCAATAGAATTGTTCCAAGTGCCCTACATCGGAAATAGAAATTAATTCTTGTAGTGGATCTGGGCAAAGTAACATAGAAAAGAGGGCTGCAATGTGCCAACCAACAGGGACTTCTACAAGTGGTGTTAGTATTGCTTGTGGCAGAGGGACAGGTGTCAGCTCTGGGGGCCAGCAGTGACTGGGTTTGTTCCCTGGCACAGGTGCCCAGAGCAGCTGGGGCTGCCCCTGGATCCCTGGCAGTGCCCAAGGGGTTGGACACTGGGGCTGGGAGCAGCCTGGGACAGGGGGAGGTGTCCCTGCCCATGGAGGGTCTTGAAGGTTCCTCCCAAACCATTCTGGGAGTCTGTGTTGTATTTGGAATTCGGAATGTCTGTATCAAGTGGCTCTATCTAAATCATCAGGGCGGGTTTTCAGATTGATCACTCGGCTCTCTGCGAGCAGCACGTTCATTTCCTGTTCTTACCAAGCAAACTAAAACTCCACTGATCCAGAACTCCCCAAGAAGATCCAGGTTTGTAGCTCACCTTAGGATACATTACTTGAACATGTACCTGCCTGATCAGGGAGGGTCACTGAGCTCTACTAGCCTCCGTGCTGTTTGCCTTCATGTGCTTCTATTTTCTGTTTCTAAGGACTTTGTCCTTTTTTTTCTGTTTAGTGAGCATTTCCAGAATAGCTGCCTGGGGCAACTAAGGAGCTAAGGAGGGCCTTCCTCACCATGATTCTGGTGAACGAGATTATCAGGCGAGCAATGATTACTGCAAAGATCTCTTGTTGCTACAGCTTACCTATATTTAGCTTTAGACCAGAAATGGTTTGCATCATCTGAAGCTTCTGGGGCCATTGACAGTTGAGTTCATTGCTTTTTGTTAGGATAAGGTTGCAAATGAAGATACAAAAGTTGTGGTTGTACCTGTAGGGAGTCTCATCGCTCTGTTATTTAGTGGCCATCCACCTTTCCTACATTCAGGATGTTTCCCAAACTGAAATAGAAGGGTTTTATGCTCAAAAGTCATAACTATTAACACTTAAGAGTTACTTTATGTACAGATATGCATCTACTTATTGTGTAGAGACTTAAATTTCTGAGGCAGGTCCAAACAAGTAACAAGGATTAATAGGTGGAAAATGAGGTAACAATTTGGTGTGAGTAGCTGGGTACTCACAAGATATTGTGGTATGAGTGTTCTGGATGCTTTGCAGAAGAGGGCAGTTCAAAGGATGATGCTGTAAAAATGAGGCTTCAGTGGGGAGAGCAGCTCTTGTTCATGTGGGGCATCTCCAGATCAGGAACATCCTGTGTGAGGGACAGGTAGGTGGCTGGCCCAGGAGGTGACCAGTTGTGGCACAGTTTTGGTGGGAAATTGAGACTGGCAGGGCCACAGAAGGTATGTGCCAGAGGCCAAAGCTGTGTTACTTTAGACTGCACAGCAATTTTTGCTACATCATCTCCAGATCAGGCTGGGCGATGGAAGCTGCAGCTGTGTCTGTGCTGCAGGAAGATCCAGACCTGTACTGGAATGTCAATTTGGAATCTGGGCTCTTGGTCTGTGCCTCAGCAGAAAATCCTGCACTGCAGAATGAACAAAAGATCAGAAACTGTATTGCACAGGAACTTCCTCCACAACAGATTGTCCTCACTCTTCTGTTCCAGTATAAAACCACATTTGTTGCTACTTCTGCTTTTTATCTGAGCTCTGATTCAAGGTAGATTAAAAAGCTAGTAATATCAGAGGTTTGCATGCCATTGTAGGATCCTGTGTCCTGGGTTCCTAAAGTTCTCTCCAAGTGAGCTGAGGAGATCAGGAGAGAGCGTGCAGATGCTGAGTTTCTCGTGCAGTTGTCTTTCAGAATTGGTATTTTTGTTACCCTTAAGAACAGGTTGTGTTCAGTGTGTGACCCCGTTGGGTGCTGATAACACACTGCCCTGCTGTCCTCCTTGGCACTGTTTTGTCACTGACTGAAAGCCCTGTCCAAGGGCTGTACTCTCATTTTTTGAGGTGCTGCATGAGCGCTGTGAGCCTGGGGGTGTGTGGGGATGGGGAATGGGTGTCAGGAGGGAAGAGCTGGGACTGCAAGGGCAGCACAGCAGTGCAGGTGGGAGTCTGCAGCTCCCTGCTAGCACATGAAAACCACCATTAGTCTTGCTGCTGTCCTGAGTTGAATATTTTTCTTGGAAAAACACCTAGGTATAAGCTGCATTTGTGTGGTTAGAGACCTCCAGGGTGTCTCTGGCTGCAAGCCCAGGTGGTCACACACACCCTTAGAAAAATGATGAAACCTGAATTTCCTGGCCCAAAAAAACCAACTGTAGTGACAGTGCCGTGGTTTGCTAAGCAATATATTGGATTTTAAGGAGCAACAGTAGTGTCTCGACTCTGTGTGTCCTAACACTGTTTAGAGGAGCATTGCTCAGGCACAGGTGGGATTCCTGTGTGGGGCCAGGAGCTGGACTCTGGTGCTTGGGGGTCCCTCCCAGCTCAGGGTATTCTGCAATTGCTTGTGTGGTATTGAACCACCTGGTGCGGTGCTGGGATTTGAAGCACGAGGAGGAAATAAACTTGTATGTGTGTGCTGCATAATCCAGGCCAGGATTGTCCGTACTGGAATAGGATTCCTCCTTACCGAATTCTGCAGTCGAGCAGGACAGGTTTTGTTTTTCTCCAAGAGCAGCTCCCCGGGGCAGGTTCTCCCCTGTGACGGTGAACACAGCTGGCACCGCTGTAGCTCTTGCCCTCTGCAGGCAAATGCTCGTATAAAGCACTTTTTTTCCTGGCAGAGCTGCATTCCTGCTGTAGAGGCAGCAGAGCGGTGTTCTGCCCGAGAGATCCAGCCCCAGCAGGGAAGGAAGAGCCTTTTCCTGGCAGGAGTTTGCAGCGGGTTTGTGGCAGCCCGGGAGCGCCGGGGGCAGGCGAGGCTCGGGCTCTGCGTGCCGGGCTCTGCCAGTGCCTGAAGGGCAAAGAGGTGACACGGCTCCTGCAGTCCCAAACGAAGCTTCTCTTGTGACGGAGCTTGTGAGGAGGGGGAAGGACCCGGGAGGAGTGGGAGGAACCCTGCTGCGTCCCCAAATCCTGTCCGGAGCCCGGGGCTGCGGGAGCGGGGACATCCCCGAGCCCCTGGGCAGATTCCCCAGCAGTGCGAGAGGAGCCAGCGGCAGCTCCCGGGCTGCGGCTGCACGGGGGAGAGCGTGACGCGCAGTTTTGCGGGGAAACACTTAAACGGCGAAAGTTGGTTTTTATTTTTCCCGGGAGCGGACTTGCGGTGGCAGAGCGGGCAGTGCCGTGAATTTTGGGCGGGAAACGGTTAAAGCAGCGTTAAAGCAGCGGCGTTCCTGCGGCTCCGTGTCCTGGGTGTCCCCGGGCGCGGGCGGACTCCAACTCCCGGCGTGCCCCGCGCGCCGACGCGGCCTCCCCCTGGCGGTGCCTGGCGGGGAGCGCAGCCTCCCGCAACGGCGGGGCCGCGGCGGGCGGACAAAAGGCGCCGGGTCCGCCCCTCCCTCCCCTTCCCCTCCCTCCCCGGCGGCGGCGCCGGTGCCCGCCCCTCGCTCCCCTTCCCCTCCCCTCCCGCACTGCAGCTCCTCCGCGCGGCCGCGGCGGGCTCTCGGCGGGGCCCCCCGGCTGCGGGCGGGCGCGGGTTGCGCTGCGCGGCGCGGCCGCCGGGGGCGCTGCGGCGGCGCCCCCCGCCCCCCCCCGCCTCCTCCCCGTCCTCCTCCTCCTTCCCCCGGTGCATTCTCCGGCTGACGGGAGGGGGAGGGCAGGGAAGGAGCCCGGCCGCCATTTTCGAGCCGCGCCGCCGCCGCGCTCGCCCGGAGCAGGGGGGGACCGGGCGCGCCGACGAGAAGCGCCGCAGCGCCCGCTCCGCCCCAGCGCTCCAACCCGGGGGCGGGGGGGCCCCGCTCCCCCCCTCCCCCCCCACCCCCAGCGCTGCGGCCGCCGAGGGAGACGGGCGAGCCCATCCCCCGTTCCGCCGGGGCGGGCGGGGGGGGCGCCGGGGGTGGCGGCGCCGCGGCTGCCGCCCCTCGTCCCGGGGGGGCCCGCTTGGTTTGTTTGCGAACTGCGCCCGTTTCGCCGCGGCCGAGCCCGCCCGGACCGCGCTCGCCGCTCGTCACGTGGTAGGTGCCGCTCGCCCCGCGCCCGCCGCCCCGCGCCCGCCGCGCCTCCCCCGCCGCCCCTTTGTTAGAGCCGCCGCGCCCCGCCGGGCCCCGCCGCCGCCGCGCCCCAACTTCTCCGAGCCCCCCCTCCCCGCCCTTCCCCTCCCCGGTGCGGCGGAAAGTGCGGGGGTCGCGGCAGGAGAGCCGCCCCGCACACCCCGCCCGCCGCCCCCGGTGCTGCGTCTGCCCGGGCGGGGGAGGGGGGGGGCGCCGCGGGCGGGGGGCGGCGGCGCCGCTTTAAATCGAAATTCCGGCCCCGGGGGTCCCGCAGAGTCGGGTCGGGGCCTCTCACGTGGCCGCTGCCCCCGGGGAGGGGAAGGGACGGCAGGGAGGGGGGGGCACCATTCCCTAACCCGGTGGGGAAAGAGGGACTGGGGGTGGGGGTGGGGGGGCACACGCGAAGTTTTAAAAGTAAACAGAAAAAAAAATTTAATTGCATAACCTCAAAGCTTGCAAAACGCGTGGAGGGAGCAGGTCCCGCGGCCCCAAATCCGCCTGGAAAATAGGAGCGGAGCGGTGCCGGTAATCCCGGTGGGCTGTCACCGGCGGGAGCCGTGTCACCGGCCGCTCTCCCTGCTCCCGGGGTGCACAATAGCGTCATTTTCCAGGTGCCTTCGAGCTCCAAAACCGTTTCCCTATATTTACTTTCCAGCCGCGTATTTTGTATATTATTTATTTCGAACCGGCCCTGCCGATCCAGGGTTATTTTCCCCAAAACAAGCTGGGAAGAGTCTGGCTATCCTGAAATGCTTTCCGTGATCCCTACGTGTGTTTACTTCCATCACGGGATTAGCATCTTCCAGTGCTTGGTTACGGAGAAATTTCCATCATTTGGGGTATAAATGGGGGTCATGTAGGAGAGAAAATAAAGCGGCTAAATATATTGGGAACTAAACTTATTTTCTCCCTAAAAATCAGAGCCGCCTTCCAAACCGAGGTGTCATCTCTCCTCTCCTTAAATTGGTGTCCAGGTGGAGCAGAAGGCAGGCACTCCGTAGATGATATTCCCTGTTATGTAAAATGCACTTGAATGACAAACTGTAGTTTTCCATGAAACCGGTCAGGATATGGGAGGAACTGCAGGTTTTTTATTTGTTTTGACTGACCATTATATTTTGAACTGGTTTGGGCCACGGCCGTGTTGGTGGTTACATCATGTCATGTGTTGTGTACAGGGTGCTTTGTGCCTCTAAAAATAAGGCGAGGAAGAAGCCGGTGTGTCGGGTGGGAAAGTCGGGAGGACTCGGCTGTGGGTCCCGCTGGCTGCGGGGATCAAACATCTGGGGCTGATGAGGAGCGATGTGTGGCTGTGTGTGCCGCTCTGCCGGGGCTGCCAGGCCAGGGATCTGTTTGGTGCAGGCAATTTCTCTTTAAAACCATATTTGTCCTTTTTATAGCCTTTGTTTTCATGGAGGAACCTCTGATGCTCTTCCCTGCTTTAGCGTATCCTCATGGATTTCCATTCTGGCACGGGAACAGAAATGCTCTTCAAGCTGATTATATATTTTTTTTTTCTTTAATTGAGAAGTCAGCAGCCTTTTAAATGGGCAGAGGGGGCGGAGGAGCAGAGCGGGGCCGGGGGCAGCAAAGGGAGCCCGGGCGGGTGGCGGGCCCGGCTCAGAGCTCTCTTCCCCGGCCGCCCCCGCGCTCCGGCTCCGCGGCCTGGCGCGGATGGCACTGGTGTTTTTCTCCCTGTAGCCGCTCTGCCAAGGTAGCACAGCTGTGTGGGGCTTAATGGATTGATATGCTGCAGGAGCAGTTAATTGTGGAACTTGGTTGTGGTACTGTTATAGCTGATTTGTAATGATTTAGCAATGAGGAATGACTTGTGTTCTCTCGTCAGAGGTGATAAAGCAGCAGATGACCAGGCAGATGTGGCTGTGGGTTTCTCTTACGCCTTTTTTCCCTTCTTTTGCCTTTTATTTATTTTTTTCAAATGCTGTGTTTCAGTCCCATTTGCTCTCGGAGATCATCCGGTAACCGGAGAGCTGGTGAGATTCTGACATCATGCGAGGCAGGGGTGAAAACTGAGCGGTTCTGTGACCAAAGTCACTTCCTTTTGCCCTGCTTATAACTTGTGTTTTGGTGAAGGCCACTGCCATTATCTAATGAACGCCCGGAACAAAGACTGTCTCTGGAGTTCCAGCACTCCACCCTTCCCTGCTCAGGCTCCACTCGCTGCCTGTCCTTAGGAACCTCAAAAGGCTTTTCCAGGCAGGATGAGACTCGATGGACAGTGAGGTAAAGATAAGGCTTGAGGATTCTTAGGCTCAGCCCAAGGGAAAGGGTAAAGCTTGGGGAGTGGGAGAAAAGCTAAGCAGCACCTATTTTCATGTATGGGCCTTCCCCCCACCTCTTTCCATATATTTTTCCTCTTCTGGAAAATTACCTTTTTCTGGGACCATTTTCTGAGAGTAGATCAGTGCTATCTCAGCCCGAACCCAAACAGCACCTGATTTTGCATTTTTCTGGTTTTTTGTTTGGTTTTTTTTTTTTTTACTGGGCTGTGAGAGAAACAGGTGGGTCAGCCTAGACCTAAATGGGAATTTAATTCCTGGAAGGGTCTCAGGTGGATCACACAGTGATGAGACCAGATAATGTGTAAGTTCTGCATGCCTGCCTCTCTTCCCAGTGTTTATCCTTCCATTTAAAGGATCTCTGAGCGCTGGGCAGTTGCAATGGCAGGTGATCTGAGAAGCAGTGTTTCCGTTCCTGCATTTTATAAATACCATGTCCCTGCTCATGACTTCCAGGAATACAATGTCTATCTGGAATGAAAAGCAGCAAAGTCTCGGTTTGAAAATCCTTCCCTGTAAACAGGAGTCTGGCTGCAGGTTTGGGGATGCAGTTTTCTGTGACAAATCGTTTAAATTGGAATAAAAGCTTTCTGTTCTTTCTCAGCTGGGCCAGGAGTTGTCATACCCAAATCAGCAAGAGTCTGGGTGATGCAGGACTTGAGTAAACATAATTCCATTAAACCCTGTGCATGTCCTCATCGGCCCGAGTTCAGAGCTGTGCTTTTGGAAGAGGAGAGTTTGGATAAGGTCTTGTTCAGGCTTTTTCAAAGAAAGTTAGAAAACCAGTCTGGATTTCTCCTGCCACGAGGTGCAGCCAGCAGGTGACTGCCAGAGTCTGGGGAGTGAGACAGATGGAGAAATGGGAGATGTTAATAGTTGGGAAGACTTAATTCTGGAGAGCAGGGTTTTGACAGTGTAGTATCTGAATTTAGTGATGAAACTCTGCTGTTTATCTGATAAAACGAGGGAGAAGGGTAACAAAGTCAAAGCTCAAGAGGGGAAATGGGGGTAGCTGTCAGCCTGAACAGGTCCTTGGTCCTCACCTGTGTCCGAGTTACTCTCTTGCTGCAAACTTAATTTTTTCAGATTTGGTGGAAATGAAAGTTTAATTGAAATATATATTTCTGTACTGGGAGCTGCTTCAGGCCTCACAGGCCTTAGCAGAAGGTGGACCTTAAAGATTTCTCATTTTCAGCTCTCTAACGTTGAGAAACATCTCTCTGAAATCTTTACAACTTCCTGTCGAGGTCTGCAGCGACAGAGGATGTGATGGGAAGGTTACTGTGAGGTTGCTTGCACTAAATGAGGAAGAGCAAGCCTGGCTCAAGCTGTAATTACCGCCCGTGAAAAAGAACCTGTGATGTGTGAGTGAACATCACCTTTCATTAAACGAGTGTCTCTGCTCTGGAGGAGTTGTCACTGTGCTTTTGGTTGCTGCCATGGCAGTCTGGTGGGCTGTGCTCTCTGAGGAGCAGGAGAAGCCGAGATCTGCATTCGGCCGGCCTGGGTGTCCTGAGGAGCTGGCTTCTGAACTCCAGTCAGAATAAAGTCTTTAAACTTGGCTGCCAGATTGGGCAGGGATCTGGTGACTTGGGACATGGAGCTCCGCTCCTCTCTGGGCTGTTGTTTCCTCCTGAGAACATGGCCAGTTATTCCAAAGCACTCCAAAGGATTTTTACAGTGACACTCAGTGCCTTCTTCTAAAATCCTAAGTATAAAATATGAGGTGTTAAGGTGGTGCCACTTTATGGGACAGTGGGATGTTAAGGGTTTTGGGAACCCTTAACATATGCTTTTGAGCAAAGGGGGGTATGTCTGTACCTAGTGAATGAAAATGTGTCTTTAAAATTAAAAGGCAATTCTGTTTTTTGTTTAACTTGCTCCCTGAGTCCTGAGTTCAGTTTTTCATATTTCCTGGGCAACTTGCCCAGATTATGCGAAAGAAAAACAAAATCTTTCTGATACTGGATGGAGGAGACCCATATTTCACAATTAAAGCTTTTTTAATTTTTATTTTATTTTTTATTTTTTTGTCTCTGACAGGCTGCTGCTTTCTGCAGGTGTCCCATTCTTATTTTTGAACCACATTTCTTCTGATTTGACTCTAAACAGCAACTTTATTCTGAAAAGTAGCTTAACAGCAATGGGTATTTTTATCTCCATCCACTTAAGTTTCCAGGTGAAGGCTTTCTTGCTTTTATTCACTTTTCCAGAATTTTTTGGCAGAGATGACAGCTGGGCTTGCTTTGTGGCTTCTGTTTTAATTTCTGACATCATATTGATGAAACCTTCTTTACCTCAGGTGATGCAATTGGTTTGGTTTATTTATATCCAATGAGAATTCACAGGCGTAAGAGAGAATTACTCTTGCAGAAGGAGATCTCAGAGCTGACCAGACCCTGCCACTCATGTGGACAAGGAAGTGGAAATAGCAGCTTTCAGTTTAATCCTGAGGGCTTCTCTTTGGAAACAAATAAAAGTGGAGCTCAGTAATATTTCTGGGATGTTCCTACTATTAAAATTCTTATTTCTCCTTGGGAGATTAGGTGCAAGTCTGTAGTGTTAATAGCTGTGGAATGTACTCACATGTGTATTGCAAAAATCTGTGGTTCTTGTGTATGTTCTTAACCTTTTTAAAATTAATATTAAAAAAAAAAAGCCTGTTTTCCGAATGTGGGTCATTGCAAGCACACGGTCTGCACGTGATAACTGGCTTATCAATAAGGTGATCGTCCTGTACTTGCCTGTCACGTTTCCTTAATTAAAGCTTTGAAGGTTGCTTCTCATGTAAATCCCTTTCTAAATTGGTAAACACCTGTTTTACAACTACAAAATGTTGAGAAGTGATAACAGAAGGCACGCAGAGAATCTGCTACACACAATAGTCGTAACTTTGGTAGATGGACATTGTGGATGTGGAAAATATTTGTAGGGCTCAGGGGGTTGTTGTGTGGTGTTACCTGCTGAGCTTAGCACAGATGATCTGTTTTACTTGCAAAATGAAGTGTAGAGGGATTTTATTTTAGCAAGTTTAGGGGTTTTTGTGTGCTTTGTTGTTTTTTTTCTTGACTGAAACATATTTGTAACCACATGAATTCAAGAGCTGGCTGCAGTGTTGATTTGTAGTGGGGGAGGAGGGGGGAAGTGGGAATTGGTAGAATACTCACTTCCTTCAGGGTAACTTTGCTTTTATTGCTTCTAACAGCACCTTTGTGTACGTCAGGAAATGGGTGTTTGGGGAGGGCAGAGCTTGGGGTGCAGGGGTTTCAGGGTGCAGTAGTGTCAGGGATTTAAACCAGAATCCAGAAAGAAAAATACGTGAGGCAGCTGTGTGTGGCCAAGCAGTGCAGGGAGGGATGGAGGGCACAGGTGATGGAGCGAGGTGGGTGCCACGGTGGGATTGATGTCTGGAGGAGAGCAGCTGCTGGGACAGCCCTGCCAGAGGCAGGAGAGAGCAGTGAGTTTAGACAGGTGCCTCCTGTGTCCAGTGCTCGCAGCTCCCCGTGTTTCTCGTGACCCTCACTGGAAGCCCACAGTGCCTGGTTTCTCCCCAAGAAACTCTTCCCACAAAGAATTCAGAGCCAAAACTTCCTGTGTTTGTTTTGGGCTTATTTTCCGAGGTACTGCACAAAATCATGTGCTTGGAAACCCAGTTCTCCTTTCAATGTCTGATTGTAAAACTGGGTTTTAGAAGCAGGGGGTGTTGAATAAGTCAGCACGCTGGGGGATTGTTTTCAGGGGTGTCATGACCCGGTGTTGCTCTGGGGTGTAGTGTGACTGGGTGTGTTCCTCCTGCCCCTCTGCCCTCCCATGGCTGCCTGTTCCCTCTCCTCCCTGGGCTCGGGGTGTGAAGTTGGAGTGTTGGGTGGGTGAAGCCCCCTGAGCAGCCCTGGTGGCTCAGATGGGCGAGTTACGGTTACCCTGGTTTTACCTGCTTGCTGCAGCCTTTCATCTTGGCTCTGTTAATTACTGCTAAGTGCTCTGGCAGTGCTCTACTTCTAAAGGCAAAATGAAGAACGTTCATTCAGTATTAGCTTAAGACACGCTGTAAACACCATGTTGGCCTTCCAGAGGCAGCTCCTCTTGGATCTTCCCAAGCCAAGTCCAGCACGGGGGTTGCACCATGGCTGCTGAAGGCTGGGCTGCAGTGGGTGGTGGAGCTGGGGCAGTGTCCAGTTACTCTGGTAGTTCTCTACCAGCAGGGCTTGTGCCAGAGCAGAAGCCTCTTGGTCCCACATGTGTCACTTTGAGTGCTGGGGATTAAAGACCCTTGGCAGGGAAACAGTGAAAAAAGCGACCTGTGGGTGCTCACATGGATCTGCTAATGCTGATGGGTGAGAGCAGTTTCAGTGGAACTTGCCAGCACAGTTTGGATCCCAGGAGCAGGCAACAGATTGGGGATAATTCTTGGAATTACTGTAAGACTTACCAGAAAGTTCCTCAGACTGTGTCAATGACCTTCCCTTCCCATTCTGTGACCTTTCTTTTCCTTTCTTCTCTCTCCTCAGAGATGCCTTAACACCTTCTCCCCTCCAATTCCCTGTTAGGAAGAAATTCCTGATAATTGTAATGGCTTTAATAACAACCCACACTTACAAACAGAGGGAGGGAACATGCTTACAAATGTTCCTTAATGTCTTTTCCAGAGGTTGCTCATAAAAGTAGAGATCTAATTCAGTGTTAGAGAAGCCAGTGCTGTTCAGCACACAGAGTTTATAAGGATTTAAATAAAATATAAAAAATAGACCAAATAACTTTTGGAGGTCATCTTTAAGCTACTAGAACAAAGCTTTATTCTTAGGGGAGACTTTCCAGGCTTCCAAAGTATTCTAAACGCTGTCCACTCAAAAAAAAAAAAAGTGGAGCCAAGGAGGTTTGCAGTAGCTTAGCAGGAGGACTCGCTGTTTTCAAGTGAGTTTGCTAACCAGAGGAAAAGGCAGTGTCAAAGTTTTGCTTCCGTTTCCCACTTCTGTTAATTTAAGTTGATGACCTGCAAATTAAAATTCTCTTTAGGCTGCAACTCCTGCAAACTCCTGACTGGCTGCAGTGTAGTGCAGATACGCTCATGAAGATCCATTTAGCACCAAGGGAAGGGTTTTCTGCTCTTTTTGCAGTTGGGTGTTTCCCAAGCCACTGTCGATGTCTCGTGGTGACTGTGGTGGAGAGCCCTGAGCCAGAGTTCCCTCTGGAAGGGAAACGCAGATGTTTCTGCAGAACTGGGAACCCGTTAGGGGCAGCCATTCCCAGTGTGTGTGTCTCTAGTGAAGGTCTTGGAAAGGAGGCTGGAGAGGAGGAAGTCTTTATTCTGAAGTCTTCCTCCCTCCTCTCCCTAGGGTGTCTTAGCTACAAGTGGAAAGTTCCCTGAAAGTTCCTTTTTTTCCTTTCTTCCCTGAATAGGCATGTTCAGTTTTTATTTATGGACCCAAATGGTGACTAAAAGCCATTTTCAGTGAGTGTGGCCTAAATTTTGAGACAGACAGGTCCTTTTTTAGTAAGGGTAAAGTGTAGTCGATTACAGAATACCATAGGTTCTGTGAGCAGGGGACATGGGAAGCCTGAACCTACCTCCAGCATCTTGATATTTCTGCTGCAGCAGCTTTTTTAAAGTGGGTTCCTCTGGGAGTGTATTCTTCCTTCCCTGTCTCCTCCTCCTGTGTCACCTGGGTGTGTTTTATGGAGAGGGAGTTGGAAGCCTGTTGGCAGTGTGCTGGAGCTGGCTGGGGACAGCCCTCGGGCCCAGTGCGGACCGGAGGATGAGCGGATGGAGAGCAGCCCTGGGGGAAGGAGTGCTGGGAGAGAGGCTGGGCACCACCAGTGCCAGAAACCCCCGTGCCCTGGGCTGCTCCCCCAGCGTGGGCAGCAGGGGAGCGCGGGTGCAACTGCACGAGCTTCAGGGTGCCTTCCAACCCAAATCATTTTGGGATTCTGGGGCTGTGGAGGGTTTGTATTTTGGACCTGGTGAGGGGCTGGACAGTTGACTAAAGTATGTACTCCTTGGAAACCACACAGCAAATAATTTTGAGCCTTCCCTCCATGGGAATGTGGGCTTGTTTCTCTAAATCGTCTCTGACTTCTCACAAAAATTCAGGTTCTAGTACTTTGATTTTCAGCCTTGATGTGTTTCTGGTCCCTGTTCAAGAGAAGCACCTGGATCTGATGTTGGGAGCAACTGGATGAGCCCAGAAAAAAAACTGGCTGTGAAATTTCCCTTGTTAAACATATTAAAACTTTAGATAGTCTTTGCTTTTCCTGTAAAGTAGTGCATTAATTTGGTCATTGGGGTGTGTTAATGAGCAGCTACAGCAAGCTTATGCAAATTTATGTGAAATTAGAGGATTGGCATATCAGGCAAGAGATCAGGGCAACTTTTTATTATTAAGTTGACATTGAAATACCTTCTGAAGATACTATATATATATATATATATATATAATAATTTAGCAGTAAAAGGAAATTCAAGTAACTGTTTCACTGGCAGCACAACTAGTGCTGTGGTTTATTTTAATGCAATTTAAAAAGGCATTTAAAAACACTTTTAGTTGTAAGGAAAGCGGGTGAATGACCAGGGACTTGGAGGTGGGTGGGAAGAGGCTGCAGTGTAGGGAAATGAAGAGTCCTCAGTTATTTCTCTTGGTTTGTTTGCTGTGGTTGAGTTAAACCCAGGCTTGCTCTGACAGTCAGTGCAGAACTGCTCTGTGCTGTGTGGGTTAATCTTTATCCACGCTCTTGAAAGAGAAATGGGAATTGCTAACGCTGGAAGTCACCTGGCTCATTCGGAAACGTACTTCTGGGAAAGTGGATTTCATATACACCAGGGAAGCGACTTTCTTGAAATACAGGTTTCAGACAAGCGGTGGGGTTTCTTCAGCCACTGGGAGTTTAAGCATATGAAGATCTGTTCCTCTCAAGCCCTGCCTGTGTTACATGTTATAGTCAAATCTGTCATTTTTAAGACCCCTGAGCTAGTAGTAGAAGCACTGAAAACGATTTCATAGGTGTTGCTCAGGGATTTTAATGATGAAGTTGATGAGCTGCTGGCACTGAAGAATAGGAGCATCCAGGGCTGGAGCTTTTCTGGAGGCCCGGAAGGGTTCTGGTGTGCTCACGGATAAACTGAAAGATGGGAGTAGCAGTTGCAGACAGGCATTAACTTTGGGAGATCCTGGGGCTCTGGAGGACTGGGCTGTGTTCCTGTTTCTGTTGGCAGCTGCCTGCTGCCCGCCTGGCCCTGCTGAGCAGGGCTGGGGCTCTCGGGGGAGCAGGCAGTGCGAAGTGTGAACGTCGCGTCCGCGTCTCGCTGCCGTAGTGCAGAGCGTTTGCTTTACATCCTCCAAGTGCAGACTCTGACTGTGTCTTTTGGCTTCCCTGTGCAGGCTGCCCTCGGGAGCGGCAGTGGGAGGCAGTGGAGCTGGCCTCGGCAGCGGGAGAGGCTGGACTTCCCGTGTCTCTGTGCTGAATGGCTGCGATGGCGCCCGCTCTCACTGACGCAGCAGCCGAAGCTCACCACATCCGATTCAAGCTGGCTCCCCCGTCCTCCACCTTGTCGCCTGGCACTGCCGAGAGCAACGGCAACGCCAGCAACATCCTCCTGGCTGCCAACGGCACCAAAAGGAAAGCCATTGCTCCGGAGGATCCCAGTCTAGATTTCCGAAACAACCCCACGAAGGAAGAGCTGGGCAAGCTGCAGCCGCTAGTGGCCTCTTATCTCTGCTCGGATGTAACATCTGTCTCTTCAAAAGAGCCTCTGAAGCTGCAAGGAGTCTTCAACAAGCAGACAGTCCTTAAATCTCACTCTCTCTTATCTCAGTCCTTTTTGAAAACAAGTGATCTGTTGGGGAGGCAACCAGTGTTGGAATTCACTTTGGAGAATCTAAAAACAATGAGTACTAGTAGCCAGCCACCTCTCCCACAAGCGCCTGTGAATGGCTTGGCCAAGAAACTGGCCAAAAGTACCAATTCAGACCATGAAAACTCTAGTTCTCTGAATGGTGGGAAGTGTGCTCCTCCTTCTGCTGCCCTCCAGGCTGTTGACTATAATACAGGAGGTTCCGAACTGGGGGACTTGAAGAGCGGGTTGACCAATTGCACTCTTCCACACAGAAGCCTTGATGCAGAGCACACAGCTCCCTTTAGCAATAACAGCACTGCAAATAAATCTTCCCTTAATTCCGCAGAGCAGCAGTGGGTGCTCGAGGGCAGCAGTGGGGAGGCGCGGGTGCCCGGTGTTGCGAGTCGCTCCGACTTCGGGAGCAGTAAGCTGGAGGAGCAGAAACCTTCCCTGCTGGCCGGTCACCACAGCGCTCTGGACTCCGAGATGAGGACGAGGGCCCTGCTGCGGCGGCAGGCAGACATCGAGAGCCGAGCCCGGCGGCTGCAGAAGCGCTTGCAGGTGGTGCAGGCGAAGCAGGTGGAGAGACACATCCAGCAGCAGCTGGGCGGCTTCTTGGAGAAAACGCTGAGCAAGCTTCCAGCTTTGGACCCCCTGAGGCATCGGAGCCAGTTGATGCTGACCAGAAAAGCCGAAGCAGCCTTGAGGAAAGCTGCGAGCGAGACAGTTACTTCAGAAGGCCTGAGCAACTTCCTGAAGAGCGATTCAATATCAGAGGAGCTGGAGAGATTCACAGCCAGTGGCATGGCCAACCTGCGGTCCAGCGAGCGCGCCTTCGACTCGGATGTCACGGACAGCAGCTCGGGGGGAGAGTCGGATGTTGAAGAAGAGGAACTGACCAAAGCAGACCCAGAACAACCCCACGTACCACTGTAAGTAGCAGTCACTTATTTCCTTTTGGTGTCAGGAGCAAGGTGGGAGGTGGCAGATAGAAAATATGGTTTTTGTAGGAAATTTTGGATGGTCTTAGGTCAGAGAATTATTAAAACTAGTGTGGTGTGATTTGCATCACGTGCAGCACCGAAGATAAAATTCCTCGTGCTTACTGGAAATAGTCTTTGGATAGTTTGTGGAGCAGCAAGTCGTGGAAATAATGGCTGGCTGGAGTGGTGTGAGCTGGAATGCCATTAGCAGTTCTCTCCAAGATGCTTTGGTCCTGTCTTCTGAAAGGAAATGTTTGTTGTTTTACAATGGGAATATTTGTTGTAAACCTGTTGTGTAAAGTAAAGCCAATCTGAATCTGTGTAGCTGATTTATGATTGGGGAATTATTTTATTTGTTAAATGAACTGCCTGGAAAAAAAATACTCTGAGAGGATTTGGTTCAAGTGCCAGCGGAAGTGTGAAATGAGTGTGTTCTCTTCTTGAATCTGGGAAATTATTGCTGGGAATTTTCTTTTTGCATATGAGTTGCATTGGATGATGACAACAGCTTCATAATTATGTTGTTAACTGGATGCTGCTTGCATAAGTATTAGGTGTCAGTTTGTATGTGGAGGAGGAAGATCCTTCTCAAGGCAAAAGGTCTTGAGACAGGTCAGGGAAGAAGGGAAATTTTTGTTCCAAACCCAGAATTTTTCTTGGGAGTGTATATCACAGTATTTTTCAAAAATCTCTTAAAAGGCCATATTCTGTGTCTAGTCTGTGAAATCTTGCTTGCATCAGTAGGTGATCTCTTCCACCCTGATGGACCTATTGAAGCTCAGTGTGTGAAGTGTCACTACGGTCAAGAGGAAGGTCCCTGCATGGGCACAGGGGTCCTGGCTGGAATGCCATGGGAATGGCTTTCCCATCCAGGCTGGAAATAGTCACCAGGACTTCTGCATTCCTGTGCTGTCCTGGGATTGTTCAGATCTCTCTGGAGAAATAGTGGAATGGATTTGGATACCTGTTGTCCGGAGTGTGTTAGTGAGCGGTGAGGGCTGTGTGACACAGATTTTACTGAGCTGGGCAGATGTGAGCACTGGGCACTTGATAACTTCAGAATCCTCTGAGAACACGCTCATGTGGATGAGTGCAGATAACCAGATGTTACAGCTTTTGAATATTGAACTGCAGCTAAATGTCACATTGTGTTTTGGGATGGTGGCACAGGGTGAATTTCTGCATGTGAAGTCTTAAATATGGCTCGAGTTTGCGTTTCTCCCAGTGCAAAGCTGGTAGCTAGCTGATCATGTGATCTCTCCTGGGTGGACATAAAGGGGTTCTTGTGCTGTTAGAAACAAGAGTTCAGTAACTTTATTCCTGTTCTATGATTTCCACAAATTTACTGTTGGGATTAGCAGTAGAATTGTATTTCTAAGTCTTGTAGTAGTTATTGGAGGAGACATTTGATTAAAAATCTGTCCAAAATAATATTAAATTTCCCAAACTGTGGATTTCATGGCTTCACGTGTTGTCTAGCAAAGTGAAATTTCTTTGCCACTGCTCTTAATCCCAAGAGGAAGTGCGGCATTCAGACACACCGTGCGTGAAATTCCTTGCTGACTTTTCCGCCCTTTGCGTTAGTCATGCCTTCACGTTCTGAGTACTCTTAAAAAGCCAAAGATTTGAAAGCTCATAAAAAGACTGATCCCTCTATTGTCCCTGGGCTCAGAAGCTGGTGTGTATGCACACTGGCATCTAGGCCAGGCCCACCAAAGCTGGTTTAAAGTTGGTGCCTGTGGGTATTGAGTAATGAGCAGTCCCAGCACTGAGCGTCCTGCTGGCCGGGTGCTGCGCCATCGGCCGAGCTCCGGCGCTGCCGAGGCTCGCTGCGTGTTGGTGCGTGCCACTGAAACTCCTCAAGTCAACCTTAAGAGCTGGTACAAGCTTCTGAGCACATCTAAACACCATTCTTTTCCAGCAGTGCTAAGAGGCAGGAAGGGAAGAGCCGAGTTTTCCACTGGGGAGCTGCCTTGGGCCAGCTGATGGTGCAGAGCCATTGTTGCACATTAGTGTGAGTGTAGAGGCTCCTCAAGGAGGGCTGGATTTTTTGTCTTTCTGAATTCACTTCTTAGAAGGAAGACGTGAACCCTGATTATTTTACTTTGGATAGTGAGATGGAATATCTGAGTGTGTAATGGAGACATTCCAAACCCACCTGGATGTGTTCCTGGGTAACCTGCTTTAGGAGACCCTGCCTTGGCAGGGGCTTGGACTGGATCATCTCCAAAGGTCCCTTCCAACCCCAGCAATTCTGTGATTCTGTACACTTCTCATTGCTCAGTCACCATCCTTTGGTTCTGCATTGCTTCTGGATGCCCCTGCCTTTCCCCCAAAAACTGCTGTTTGCTTCAAGATCTTTTGTGAGAGTTGTGCCACAAACAGTGTCTCACTGGCCGTGAGGGGCTGTGTCACTGACCACCTCTGACACTCAAGTAGGATCACCCAAAAGACAAAGACATGTTTACATCATGCTTAGATAAGAGCTGACCCTTGAGTTTTTCTGGTGTGGTGGCATTCCAGAATCAGTATCTGGTCAAGGACAGACTTTGAAGCATTTGTACTGTTCTGACCTGCCTGATCTCAGCTATGGAGCACCATCTCCCTGAGGAATTCTTGGTTCCAGTAGTGCTAGGGATGTATCAGAACTTGTTAGGTCCTTCTAAAGCGCTCCCAGAGCTGCTGCCCAGGAAGGTGCTGTCGTTCAGGTGCATAACCAGGCCATCATGTAATGCATAAACAAAGCAGGGAGGGATTTGTTACACCTTTGGGAAGCCCTGCCAGCCATGGGCTTGGTTTAACGAGGTTCTCCTGCTTCTCAGGCTGCCGATGGAGAGGGCAGGTGTGTGCAGGCAGGGTTGGGTTGTGTGGAGTCCTGGCGTTGTGTGCATCAAGGACCACCGTGTTGCATTGTGTCTGCTCCCAGGTTAACAATGCCCAGGTCTGCTTCACAGCTGGGGTTCCCTAAAGGTGTGAGCAGTGCAGGGTGAGGATCAGGAGAGAGCAGCTTTGCCTTTGCTAGGAGGTGAGGAGGGCAGGTGGGAGTCTCCCCTGTGGAGAATCCAAACTTCCTGGGCTGGGTGTGACTGGAGGCAGGAGCACCTGAGAAACCTGTGCTCTGAACAAGGGCCCAGCTGCCCTGGCAGGGTGGGCAGGCCCTGGCACAGGTGCCCAGAGCAGCTGTGGCTGCCCCTGGATCCCTGGCAGTGCCCAAGGCCAGGCTGGACAGGGCTGGGAGCAGCCTGGGACAGTGGGAGGTGTCCCTGCCATGGCTGGGGTGACAATGAATGGGCTTTAAGGTCCCTTCCAACCCAAACCATTCCATGGTTTTATGTTGCTGTCAGCTTGTGAAATGTGGTTCAGAGAAGGGCATGGAATTGTTCCCAGTGCTGGATGGCTGCTGGCTGAAATCCGGTTTGTGTGGCTGCCTGATGGTTTAGGAAGTCACCAAAGTTCTGTTGTTTCTGTGTCCCTGTGCTAATACGTATAAATAGGAAATATTTAATGTGGCTTGTGCATCTTTATAGTAGTTGCTTTTCTCAGACTGGTGGTTTCTTTGGTTGTGTTGGATTTGCCTGCATACAAGTTTAATCAGAATTTTTCCATTATTTTTGGCTGGTTAGTGACCTATGCTAAGCAGTGATGTAGGCATGAGTGGTGAGTGGTAGGTGATTTAGTCTCTCTAATCCTTAACTTCAGTCTGTACCACGGGAATAAATTCTGAAAAGGTAATGAAACCAAATATTTAACTGGAACTTTCCTTTTAGCTCAGGTTTTCTTATCTGGAAAGTCACTGGTTGGCAGTTGCATCGAGCTGCTGAGAGGGAACTGAAGTTCCTGGTGACCAACTTCTCACATCACTGGCTTCCCACAGAACCTTTCCAAGGGTCAGACAAGTCCCTTCAGTGTTCAGTTGTGGTTGGTACGGTGCCTATGGCCACGATGCCTGAGCACACGTTAATTATTCCCGTTTACTGATGGGAAATCTCAGTACCTTGTGCACTTTGGTGTTGCAGTGAATCATTTCACAGCCTGTGTGTTGTCTCCTCCCTGCACTGTGTCACATTGTGCTGCCGAGTTTTCAGAGTTGCTGGGCTTGGAGTAGTAATTAAGATTTCTCACAGCTGCTTTTCCCAGGACCCATTTCCAAGTCCTGTGTTGGAGATGAATGATTGGGTTGGGGGTTGCTTGAGGAGTGGCTGCAGTTGGTGCATCAGCTGACTGAGAAATGGGATTTAGAGATTCTGGTGTTTTTCAAGCGAGAACATGATAATGAAGCCTCAAGGCCCATTAAATAACATTTCTCAAATCCATGACTTCATAGAACTCTGATTCAGATGGCAGGTCCCACACGTAATTCAGAAATCAAATTCCACACCATGGGGACTAAGGAAGCTTTTCCTACCGGTCACAACCATGTTTCACTAAATGATTTAGGCACAGCAGTCCTGAAAGCTTGTCTCTTACTCTTTGTCACTTTTTCAGTCACCTGCTTGACACTTCGGGTGTTGTTTTCTGTTGAATTTTACCTGTGCTTGTAGGTACCGGTGACAGCAAGGTGCTTAACTGTATTTTTCAGCTGTTAAGAGAACTTAGGTGTTGTCTGAGTTGTTAGTCCCAGCAGCCATGTGCTGGCCAGGAGAGAAGTCCTGCAAGCTCTTTCAGTCAGAAAGAGAGAGCAAATCCTGAAGTGTTCTTGCTTAGCATTTGAAAGCAGAACAATAGAGTGGTTGATTGTTAAAAATGCTTAATCAGGTATCCAGAGTAAGTAGGACACTCCAAGTCCCTCTTGCTTTTAAAGAAAGAGGGCAAACGAGAATAGTCAGTCATTTCTCCAAGAGATGCTGGTCCTAGTACACCTTTTATAGATATTATGGGTGTCTAATAAGTTGTCCCTGGCTTTCATCAGAGCCTCGATCCCCATGCAGACCTTGCTGGAGAATGGCAGG